ATTAAGTACTGGGAGATTTCTCCATACTTGAGGTATAACTGAATTTTCTAGGTGGTGTGTAGAATAAATCTCATTGCTTTATGATCACGGCTTTCCAGGGTCAAGTACAGTCTCACAGACTGTCTCCTATCTGCTTATCTTCGCATATATCAAAAGGAAATTTTAATTTAACTGGACATACTAATCATTAAAGTAGCTGATTCTAATACTTCTATGAAGTGTCTTGGTCCCCACAAAATGCTTTAAGATCGAACTAGTTAGTGCAATATCGAGAGCATAGGATGTGCCAGGCGCTGGGCCACACTTTGGGAATTTAGAGATAAAGAAGCGACTGCATCATGGGATGCGATGTGCTCTGGGCTGTGACTGAGGCCCGGATGAAAGAAGTGGTGCATCACAGAGGGCCCTGCACCTAAATCTGCTTCAACTGTGGACAACAGTTATTCCCAGATGATGCTCCTTTGAAAATGACACTTGAGGATTTCAAATCCCTGAGCTGGCCCACTTGGGATTTGTGTGGGCCTGCTCCAGCTGCAGCATCCTCCGGGGAAAGGGAAAGAAACTGGAATTGCATTGTGTTTTATAGGATTCTCCACGTGTTTGCTTCCTCCCCCACCACACCCCCATTTGTATTACGCAGGAGAGAACACCCATGACATTTGAATTTGGGGACATGTAAAGGGGTTAAAGAAAAAAAAAAGCAGATGGGAAGATGTACAATAGAGGAAAGAAACAATGGGATGCAAACGAGTGAGCCAATTCTATTCTGGAACTTTCTTGAGATACTTCTTTGGGTTGAGAAACTACTGTTAACACCATTACTTTTAAGCTTTGTTTTCTGCCTCCATTCCTAGAGAAAATATTTTAGAAAAATCTGTAAAGAGAAGATAAAAATAATATGTGGGGACCTCGGCACTGCTCTCTTTGCTATAGGCTTCCTGAGTCGTTTGAGAGATAAAGATTCTAACAACTACCACAAAAGGCGCTACTGATTTTCTGTGTTCAATGCTTCCATCCTATTTTCTCCCTTGTCTGAGTGGCTGGCATATTTTTAGATAAGATAAAACTGAAGACTTTATTGAGAATACAAATAATGATGGTGAAAAAGCTCCAAATGGGATGGATGAGATTTTTTTTTTCTTCCCTCTTTCTTCTGGATTAAAAGCATTTACCTGTGTCAGCAAAGTGATGAAAAAAGTCTGCCTCTAGACAGAAAAAATAGGCTCTTTTGGAGGACATGCTGTTCATATGCTGACAACCATTTCTTTNTCTGCCTCTGTCTCCTCACCTGTCAAACAGGTAATAACGGCACCACAGGGTTTGGGGAGTACTTGACGAGACGATCCAGGTAAAGGGCTTAGCCCTGACACAGTGAGAGCCATCGCTGTCCTCACCAAGTTCAAGGCTGCTCAGAGGACGTGTGGAGATGGAGAGGGTCAGGGGTCCTGCTCTGAGAGTATAACAAGAGAGCTGCACGTTAACCCTGAGGTGGGGTCCTGGTAGGCAGAAGGGTGTGGAGCTCCAGCGTATCTGTAATGCATCATCTGCCTAAAATCTGTTACGGTGGGTCCGTGAGAGTCCTTAAATCAGGACAGTTGTCCACAAGTGTCTTTATAGCATGCTGAGCACTTCTGAGTGTGGCTGAAACACTGCAGTACAAACACAAGACAACCCAACACCAGCCGAGGCACACATACTTCCTACTTCTTGCCTTCATTCTTCTCGATAAAACCTTATTTGAATTCCTCATTTCTTCTCCAAGCACACACCTTTCCTGGAGCACTTCACAGCACTGATTTAATTAGTTATTTAGGATCTGGCTTTGCTGCTAAGTTAAGCGTTCATTAACAGAAGGAGCTTTTGCAGACACACTTCACAGTTTGTACTATTACACTGTATCTCCTAGGATGATCTCTGCAAAGAGAACAGATTCTATTGCTTGTTTTTTTTTTGTAAACCCAAAGAATAACCACCCCTTAAGCTCTTATCTTCGTTGGCTTTACCGGAGGATTTTCAATCTGCAGTGGATGAATTCTTATTTTCATGGTTGACTCAATAGACATCAGTTTCCTTAAAACTCCCTCCTGCCTACACTGCTCTTTTTCATGTACTCTACCGTCTTCCTTCTGTTCCACGACTCTAGACACCACACAGCATGGCTTTCTGCATTCTCCCCAGCAACAACTACTGCGTGGGGCTCCCCAGCAATCTCTGACCCACACATCAGCCCACCAGCTTCTGCTAATCCCCACCATGAACCAGTGGTCCATTAGCATGGAGGCATCTCCACGGCAGTGTGTTAGCATTGACAAAGGCAATCCACTGTACGACTCCGAGGAAGGAGAGCTGCACTGGGATTGGGAAGCATGTCCAAGTCCAGGCTGGACCATTCGGTGTGCTCAGCCGCTGGACACCATGCTTATCTCTTTGCATTGCCCTGGAGTACCATGGGGTCAGACAAAGACTCTGCACCATCCCTGGAGGAAGCCTACTGGTGGGGCAACCCTCCAGGCAGCCAATATCCAAGCTGGGAAGGGAGGGCTGGACAGCTTCATGTCCCCAGGGTCGTTTCCTGAAGAGATCCACCCAGAGGGAACCCAGGGCCCCTGCCTGGTCTAGCTCAGGGCCCTGGCCCAGNTGGGAGGAAGCTGATACTTTTCTCACTCTCCCATTACATCCAATTCTGGGGCTGGAAGAAATAGAATTTTGGGGCAGGAAGAAAGGGGAGCGGAGGACCTATCCTCTGAGGGCCAACCTAGTCTATACAACCAAACAAACTTGACTTTCCAATGCTTTAATCTTTAGGGGGAAGATGGCCAAGAATCTTTAATTTCTAAGGATTTGGAATGAAAACACCCACAATCTGCAGAAATACTTTGGTCCTCTCAGCTCCTAATATATCCAGCCCAGTGAGGATGCTGGAACCTAAAGACTCAGAACTTAACAGGCTCTTTGGTGTATGTCCCAAAATATGTCCTATTTCTGCTCTTCACTAGAGCTGGGTGTTTAAGCAACTTTCTCAGTTCCAGGTGAGCATGCCCCAGCCACCCCAGCAAGGCCTTCTCTCCCACCCCTACGGGCTCCCAGAGTGGCAGGCAGCCAGCCTACCTAGGATGTCAAAGCATGCCCCGCTCTCCAGCCGGTGTTTCCTGTACAGGTTCTTCAGGACCTTGGCACTGCCGAAGCGTTTGAAACGGCTCTTCACATTATTGTAGAACCATTCCAGAGACTGAGCTCTCAGGAGCCTGGAGAAAACATGGAAATGAGAAAACAGAAAATTCAAATGACAAAACGGAATCATTCAATGGTGGAGTGCCAAGGTTACCATGATCCTTTGTCGCTCCTCCCATCAAAATGTGGAGTTGATTTCTCTACTCATTGAACCTGGGCTGACCGATGTACTGGGACCATAGAGAGTGATGGAAGTGATGCTGTGTGAGTCTCGAGCCTTGTAGCTTTCTCCCTTGCTGCTTTTAGAAGCGTTGCAACCCATGACCATGTGAGCAAGCCCAAGGTAGCCTTTGGGATGATGAGTGACAGTTGGTCCCATCACCCCTCTTGCCCCAGCAGGTACCCAGCCAAGCCCCAGACAAGTGAGTGAGGCCATCGACTGCCACCTGACTGGAGACACATGCATGACCTCACATGAAACCAGCAGAAGACCCGTGCACCCGAGTCCACCCCATGACTCAGCTGATACATGCCTGCCATTTGAAACCACTAACTGATACATGTTTGTTTAATATATTTCTTTTATTACTTTCAGGTGTAGAAAATAACATAGTGATTAGACATTTACATACCTCCCCAAGTGATAACCCCAATAAGTCTACTATCCATCTGACACTGTACATAGTTATTAGAATATTATTGACTATATTCCCTATGCTGGGCTATATCTCTCTCTCTCTCTATCTCTATCTCTATATTTGGTACTGTTGCTGCATTAGCCACAGTTCTGACTTAACTTGGGAATGTAAAAAGCACACGTGAGACCCTGGGCGCCACGGCAAAGCTCTCCAGCTTTTTCCTCAGTCATCCTGAAGCCCGATGGGAAAGCAGTTCCCGGGTCAGCGCTGAGACGGTCAGCGCAAAACGCTGACATGATTCTCCCTTCTCTCTGACAAGACCGTTTTCTAAACCCCTCTCACTTGAAGAATAGCTTTTGTGGTTCTGTTTCTTATTAGGAATGCAATAATCCATGTTCATCTTAAAGAAAAATTCAGAGAAGCAAAAGGAGCACAACTGCTTCTAATTCAACGGAGGAGCCAGCACATAAGTAGCCGCTCTCCCCGCCCAGATGCCCGCGAGAGGTGAGAAGATGTCCAATGGGAAAGAAATCTATAAAACTGAAGGAGGAGGGTGAGGGCAGCATCAGGGGTTTTGACAAGTTTCTGGGAAATTGAAAGTGACAGAGAGAACAATGTCCTGCAAATCAGACAGGAGAGCTGGGACTCGGGCTGAGAGGTCCAGGGCGGACGGAGTCGGTCGGGGGGTGCAGAGAGCAGGCCTGGGCTGTGAGGCGGCATTCAGAAAGCTCATCTGATGGTTACGTAGACAATAGTAAGGCCTCTCGGCCCCTGTCCCTGTTCCTGAACAAATGGACCATTGGTCCAAGGATGCTTTGTCCTAAGTCATAAACAGAAAGCGCTTCTCTAAGAAAATCAAACCATCCCCTGGAGGAGGATTATGACTCCACAACGGGGGGTTACTACCTTGCAGGGGAGCCCTCCTTGCTTGGCACTAGGGGAGCCCCCACATGCCTGCCCACCAGATCCTGTCCATGTACCCCAAAGCCGAGCCTGCCAATTGCCTGCCTGGCTCATGAACTTGGGGCTCCCTGCACAAGTGTCACCCCCTTTGGGAGGCCTTCCCTGACCGCCCTGGCTAAAGTGCCCTCACAGCTTTACCATCTTTCTCCCATTTTCTCTCCCCATATTTCTGTAGAGTGCTTCGCTGTACCTGATGTTCAATTATACATGATTCATTATTTATAAGACAGTCAATACATTAATATGTTAATTGACAATGATTAAATTGTTTCTTATCAATTTCCCCTTTCTAACAGAACATAATGTGTATATATGTTTATGTATATATATATATCACCAGCATCATTGCTCTTAATAAAAATAAACACAATTATTTGAGTGCTTGCTCTGTCGGAGGCTCTGTGCCAAAGTGTTCCTCGAATCATGACTTAATTCTCTGTAAGTGCGTCGGGGCTAGGCAGGCTGGGACGGCTCAGGTCCCGGCTTTTACTGCCTGTGTGGTCTTGAGCAAATTCATTAATTCCTCTAAGCTCGGCTTCCTATAAAATGGGGATGCTGACCAGTGACCGCCTAATAAGGCTGTTTGAGGATTAGATGATGTGACGCAAGCACTGAGGTGTCTGGCGCCA